TTCTACGATTTTTTACCAGGCAAAACGAATAAAATGGAAAATAAATCACAAACCAATTTAGATAATATTTTTGTTGAGTGTCCTTGACAAGAGGTACGTTTAGGTAATGGATTCTGTTTAGCAATCAGGCGGTGACTGAAAATTAAAAAAAAAGATTACATTCTGCAGGAATCGAACTCTGACCGGGCGGTCATTTTGAGAGAGAGTTAGTGAGGGTGAAAAAAAAAGGTCGAAATTGATAGGTACAGATCGACTCAGAATGATCCCCTGAGTCGATTTACCCACCCCTGTGGAGACATTTTTTTTTATACCATCCGTCATTTTGAGAGAGGGTTAGTGAGGGTGAAAAAAAAAGGTCGAAATTTATAGTTACAGATCGACTCAGAATCACCCCCTGAGTCGATTTACCCACATTTATAGAGGTAATCTTTTTAACCCTTTGGCCATCTTGGAAATGGCTTAGTGAAGGTGAAAAATTAGGGTCGAAATTCATGGAGACAAATCGATTGAGAATGATCCCCTGAATCGATTTAGATATACTTGTAGAGACCTTTTTTTTACTCCTTCGGGCGTCGTGGAAATGGGCTAGTGAGGGTGCAAAAACACCCCATTTTACCCGAAAGCATTTTTTTATTCATCTCTTGTCATTCTCACCCCAATTTTTATCCTTTCATTTCCCCTCTCCCTTCCCCCTAGAACCACCCAGTGTCCGTCAAAGCATCCATCTTCTTTTCATATCTTCATTTCACCTTCAACCATGCCTACGAAAGCCATGTGTATACACACGGACGGATTGAGTATTGGGAGCGTGTGAGAGCGAGAGAGCGAGGAGATAAATCCTCCACCGCCCCGAACCAAATTTGCGCCCTATTTGGCTTTTGAAAATCGCGAAACATTTTTTAGCACTATATGCTTGACAATTTTTTTTTCCACAGTAAAACAAAATTCTACTTTTTATTCCGTTGGATGAAATCGAGCAATTATGTTTGTTGAAAACATTCGCCACTTGTTTTTCCGCGAATTGAAGTGTTGAGGAAGCTACGTTCGAAAGAAAAACAAAGCCTGTATTGTTTTTGAATGCTGAGTTGAATTTTGTTCTTGGGCAGAACAACATCATTCAATCCGACGGTTATTTAAAAAATTAACGTGGATTTTTGGGTTTGTTTTTTTTAAATGGCGAGAAAAATTTCGTGTCGTGCTGTGTGCGCTTTTAGTGGTTGTGAAGTGACATCGTGGGATGGTGAGGCTGGACATCTCTTCGGATTTCCTTCTGAAGACAATCGACGTTTTCTGTGGATCAATAATTGTGGTAAGTACATCTATGTTAATATTCATTTTGAAGAAGAGAGATGAATTTTTAATTGGCCGGCGCATTATTCCAATGTCACTCAGCACTCGCAATGTAATCGGTTTCCTTCAGCGCAATGACTTTCGTCGATGTTTTCATTTTTTTCTGACAGAGATGGAATGAAACCAATGTCGACGGACGGAGAATTTCATCTCCTATCGAACCGCATTGGTTTTATCTCTTAATATTAATTACAGAACGAGTTATAAATTTTAAAGTGGCGGGCGGGCGATTGAGATCTCCACGAGTCTCACCCGCGCCGTCATTGTCACCGCTGTTTTTCCCTTTCAAAAAATCCAATATAATAAAAAAAAATTTCAAATATCATATATATATGTGTAGGTGATTTGTGTACTTTGGCAACTTAACGGAAAATTCCAGCATTTGGTAAATGGAAGCACTGGTCATTTTGGCAACGGTTGCCAAAGTGACCACAAGTGTGAAATGAACCACATGAGAGAGTTGTCCCACTGCAAATTCGACACCACTCTAGCAACCCCTTCTATATGCCGAAAACCCGAACGCGAAATTCTTAGTTCGAACTCCGAGAAAGTGGAGTTAATACTTAATTGTAAAAAACATGGTCAGGATGGGACCAAGGCGGAATTTAAGTGCATAGGGAGGAAGAGCATGAGGTGAGCGTCATTTTACACTCGAACACTATCTTTTTGCGTGATCCGACCAGGCAGCATTATCCAGCGATGCGCCATTTGGAAGTTGTGATTTACCAACCACAATTATCAACTTTTTGGGAACCTTGAACAGCCACCTCCACGTGGTGCTCCCGGGTCATGCGAAGAGCTGTTCAGTTTTTGAGTTTGAGATTTCACTTTTGAAATAGCTCAAAGATAAAGCAGTGTTGCAGAAGTGGCCAAATGACATACATATATATATATCTATATATAATATTGGATTTTTTTAAAGGGAAAAACCGCGGTGACAATGACGGCACGGGTGAAACTCGTGGAGATATCAATTGCCTGCCCGCCATTTTAAAATTTATAATTCGTTCTGTAATTAATATTAAGAGCTAAAACCAATGCGATTCGATGGAGGATGAAATGCTCCGTCCGTCGACATTAATTTCATCCCTTGATCTCTGTCAGAAAAAAATAAAAACATCGACGAAAGTTATTGCGCTGAAGGAAACCGATTACATTGCGAGTGCTGAGAGACAGTGGAACAATCCGCCGGCCAATTAAAAATTCATCTCTTTTCTTCAAAATGAATATTAACATAGGTGTACTTACCACAATTATTGATCCACAGAAAACGTCGATTGTCTTCAAAACGAAATTTGAAGAGAGGTCCAGCCTCACCATCCCACGATGTCACATCACAACCCCTAAAAACGCACACATCACGACACGAAATTTTTCTCGCCATTTAAAAAAAACAAACCCAAAAATCCACGTTAATTTTTTAAATAGCCGTCGGATTGAATGATGTTGTTCTGCCCAAGAACAGAATTCAACTCAGCATTCAAAAACAATACAGGCTTTGTTTTTCAATTCGCGGAAAAACAAGTGGCGAATGTTTTCAACAAACATAATTGCTCGATTTCATCCAACAGAATAAAAAGTAGAATTTTGTTTTACTGTGGAAAAAAAAATTGTCAAGCATATAGTGCTAAAAAATATTTCGCGATTTTCAAAAGCCGAATTGGGCGCACATTTGGTTCGAGGCGGTGGAGGATTTATCTCCTCGCTCTCTCGCTCTCACACGCTCCCAATACTCCATCCGTCAATTCTTGGAATGGAGGGTTTCTCTAGAGTATGTGTTTGTTGAGAACATATGAGAGGGAAAGAGAGAGTAAACAAATCCACCACTCGGTTTCCCTCAGCGCATTTTCGTCAATGTTTTTATTTTTTTCTGACGAAGATTAAGGGATGCAATGGGTGTCGATGGATGGACGATTTCATTTTCCATCGAGTATCGCTTGTTTCAGCCCTTAATAATAATTAGGAGAGAAGTGATTAATTTTTAATTAATGGACGGATTAGTTGGAGACCACATCTCTCTCATGTTCCCCACTTATTTTTCGCCCATGAAGATTCCCCACTTTCGCCTCCCATTCTCCTTCTTTCCCCCCACTCTATCTCGACCTCTCGGATGCCGTTATCGACACTCTCGGCCTCGTGCCCTGCCTTATTCACGGGTACGGCCTCTGTTTTAGTTCCGCAGTCGCCGCAAGGAAAAATCCATGTTGAACCTTTGCCATAAGCGCTGCTGATTTCCCCTATTATCTCTGGTATACGGCGGTGGTCAATTTCTCGGAGCTTTTGATTTGGATAGATTTAGAAACGTTTGTTTGGCGAATAATACGAGAAAAGATGAGAGTTACAGTATGGTGGCGCCTCGTTTTTGTACGCTGTGTGTAGAGTACCTCGTGATATAATTCCCCCAAATAATTATCCCTAGTACACCTCCTAGTCCGCGGGAATGATTAAAATCATTGCCCAAAATGTCGCACCAACTATTCGAACTCTGTAGATAATAGAGTTAAGAATTGGAATTAATTGAGAAGTAAATTGAATTAACAAAACCCGCGAGAACAAATTAAATAAGGTAAAGATGACCAGAATTGGCAGCGCAATAAAAAGCTAGTGCTCTTAAACACCCGGGGTGTGGGACAAGCTGGGCACTATGCATTGCAGACCTAAGTTTCCCTCTTCAAAACAGTTTTCCCCTTTAAAATCCCATTGGAGAAGTCTTTCTCTGATCATTTGCACGTTCTTTGAAATACTCGCATTTTCCTTTACCTTTTTTCTTTTTACCCGATGTAAACCCTATTATAAAATTCATTACTCCGTAGACGATTTGACTACCATAAACAAGACCCTTCTGGGGTAGGACCTTTCCATAAAACCATTTCGAATTCCTCTTAATCAGTTTTGTCGCGCCGTGAAGCTATTCCAAAGAAAATATATTTACGGGACCACAAAAAATTAAAGAATTGAGAAAATTTTTTTGTTATTCTCATTTCAACCAATGAGATTGCAGACACGATCCTTCTTCCTTGATTCCTTGATTTGGAACAAAATTGATTACTCACCATCGTTTACATTTTACGAAGTAGGAGACCTACTGCGCACGGCGTGCGCGCAATTTGAATTTGGCGGTTTGAGTTGACCAATGAGGAATTAGTCCTACGCGTTTCGAGATATTTCGATTCGGGCGAACTTCATTTTTGTCTTTCTACTCTTATAATAAGGAAATAAGGATCACATCAGTGAGAACGACCCATCTCGGTTTATTACTCATTCAATTTCAAAATTTCAATAAGTGATTTAGTGATGCACAATTGCTAGGCCCATTGAATAACATGCGTCAAATAATTTTGAACTGAATTTCCTGATAAATCCCTCCATATGACCCATACAATTCCTTAACACTCAACGCTTCGAATTCAATGGAGATCTCACTCATATCCACTCATTCCAATGAAGAAAAAATCTCCAAATAATAAAACAAGAAGTTATTAGTACTGTCGTTACGAAAACAACTTATTCTATATAAGTACGAATTGGTCCCCACTGCCATTCTACTGCCCACGGTTTTATGGCGCAAGGTGTGCGGAGTAAATCCCAACGAAGGGGTATAGTTGTCTCATGGTCACCTTTCTCTATCCAACGCGAAACACCTCCAAGATATCACTCCCAGTTCTTAATGTTGGTTAGTGTGCCCAGTTATTCATCAAAGCAAGTATAGTTATCTGCCATTAGTATTGCGCAGTTATAACAATCTGGAAGAATTTTCATTAATATATTGCCATATATATTAATTAACGAAAAGATACGTCTCAAGTATTCCATCCCATTCAACTTTTTTTCTCCTGTTCGGTTCTCACCAAGAAAAGCATGTCATAATTATGGTATCCATCGCTAATTGATTTGTGATGTTACATAAGTCATTATCGTCCTAAAAGTGATTTCTATACAAGATAAAGAGTATAACGAAGAATCATCGCAAGAAGGATTAAAGAAATAATCTCTGACAATTTTAACATATTTTTCATGAATTATTGTAAAACATTTAAAGGAGCAATCAGTTAGTGAAACTATTCGACTAGAATATATAGAGATGAGGAGGAATGCAAGTGAATCTTATGTGGTAACAGTCTTTAGTTCCAAATTTAGATTTTTCTTCGAGTTCTCTAAAATAAGAAATTGTAAAAATTGAAAAGCTGTATGAGATATGTTTCTTACCGTCTTCATAAAATAAAAAGGTGGGTATCGATCATTTTTTATTCACTAGTTATTATTTGAAACAACAGGCAAATATATTTCAGTCCATATTAATAATGCACAGAAACAGAATATATCCGCAGAACAATTTGAAGTCATTTCTTATTGAAAATAATATAAAATTACACAATATCTTCAAACCATATAATCATTATCAAAATGACGAGAAATCAATTAAAAATTCCAATTTTCCTATCTACCTAATTGGCCGAAATTCGCGGAAAACAATTTTCTTTTAATCACGTTCCACAATTAGAATTTTAGTAAAAAAATTACTCAGGTGGTTTTACTATTTCGATTGTGATTACTGACTAAATTAGAATCTAAAGTCACATTGAAATTATTACCTATTATTTAGACTTCAGCGTGTCGTAACTGGACAATTGCACGCGGGGAGCGAAGCTCTTGCCGACTCTTGCACTCGGAAATATACAATAAAATGCGCCACTCGGGCGTTAGCTTTATTTTCATGTGTACCATCTTCTCGAAGCGCAATATATTATTTTGTCGTTATTTGCAAGTAATTATTTATGAATCATTCTTTATAATGAGTATTCGAAAATTGGTTCCCTTATAGGTATGTGACGCTTTCCATTAAATATCTGATAATAATGATCAAATACATAGTGCAATACTATGAATACTGTTTCTCCAGTTTTGCGCCTATCTTTCAGAAATAGCTTGGGCTCGGAATAGCGTGAATCACTACAATGGGAATAAAAACTATGGGAATAAAATTTCGATTCACAATTACAATTTTATTCAATTATTAAAGTAAAATTTATCGAATCAAAAAATTTCCTGTTTCCGGTTTGCATTTTTCCATGACTCAAATTATCAATTATGTATATATATATACTGTATTATTATTATTGTACTGAATATTGTCGGCTGCGTCACCAAAATGTTTTTTCCTTGTTTATTTAAAATCAAAATATTAATAATAAATTTAAAAAACAAACATTTTAGTAATGCAGACGACAATATCTCCTCATTCGACTGGTCGTAACTGTGGCAGCGGGAAATGAAAAAAACTGTTACAGTTGGACTGATGAGTCCTTTTTTCCCGCACTCTGCCTAATTCCTATGCGGATTCACGTCTCCAACCTATGAAATTTAAAGGGACGGACTCGTCAGGCTGCCTATACTGAGTCAGCTGACGGGCAGCGCCCTCCCTCTCGTGCGGTGCGGTACTACGGTGCCGCTGGGTCAATCGAACCTCCAGAACTCAGCCTCTACTTACATCAATCCTCTTTCAAGCAGGGGAACAGAAGGGGAACATCTTATGCCGGGTGGGGAGAAAACTATCGCATCATTCCATTTTAAGAGTTGGCGTCTGCATTTATGCCTAATGCACATTTGTTGCTGTATAATAACGAGATCTACTGCACAATGCGTGTGTCGAATTTGAATTTGGCGGTTCGAGTTGACCAATGAGGAATGAGTCCTACACGTTTCGAAATATTTTGACTCAGGCGAACTTCTTTTTTGTGTTTCTACTTTTATAATAAGCATTGAGGGCATAATAAATATTTGCAGTTGAACGTTTGCGGATACGGAAAAAAGTGCAAAATAAAAAATTGGCCTATGGAAAACATCCGTCGGTTTGATCATATTACATTTCAACACATCTGCACAGAAAATTCGATCGTTGCTCCCTGAAGACCGAAGGGGAAGTAAGGACTTCCCGTCCTCGCGTAAAACGATGCTGCCAAGGGCGGATTTGACAAGTAAAAACTTTCCACCTTTGAGGACAATTTTCCGCTGTAGGGGGGAATGTATCGACTTTCTACCCTTGAAACACAATATACTATTCCGTCATAACTACAAGGAAAGTGTAGTATTGGTGTAAATATAGGAGATACGAAAGATAGTATATTGTGCACCATGGGAGGAAAACAGGACATTCAAATCCGCGTGGGTATTACCGACCCGAGGCGAAGCCGAGTTTTTGATTATAAATGGAGGCTTAGTAAGTGATCATTTTCTTGATTTTCCAATTTTCCCTAACAATGATGTAGAATGTTATGAACCGTGAAAAGACGATGTTTGAAGTGCATGTGTATGTATACTAGACCTATTCATTTCTTGCTCAACATTTTTTTTTTCATGTCAAAAATCTTTTTGAACGCTATTATTTTGCCTAATAACAATGCTCGCGAAGATCGTCTCTTTTTGTTTTTGTTGCTGTTTCTTTTCGCGATTGAGGCTCAGAAAAATTTAGACTTTTTTAATCCTTGACAGCACCCTCTGGAAATTTCCCAGATTTTTTATTATGGTACAAAGTGGAGAGGCCAACCCGAACTAATTGCAAGATGAAATCGGATACTCATGAGCATAAGAGCAGAAAAATGATCAATAATAATTTTTCGAATTTTTATTACTACTCACATTTTGGCTTATTTATGTAGGTTACCCAAGGTTGTCCAAAAAATGTTTTAATTTTCTCTCCACGTCGTGTCGAGATTTCATATATGAGTGAGATTATAAATTGCTTTTCTTAAAAAGATGTGCCAGGAGACATTTGACATTTTTTTGATAACTATAAGTGGCTTGAAAAAAATGAACTGAAGTGTTAGTGGTGATAAAAAATTTTGAAATTATCGATGGCGATTTTTTCGTCCTCTCAAGTTTACAAGCATCTCACTTTCACTGCCATTGGTGAATGTTGATTGTGAATCAACATATTACGTCTATTTTTGTAAAGACAAAAAAAAATATAAAAACACGTGAAAATGACATTTCTTACGAAAAATAAGGCCTAGACGTAATTTTTTCGATAATAAACCATTTCTGTGCAAAGTGCAGCCAAAAACTAAATTTATTATCCCAATTTTTTTTTCTTGGAGGTCAATTTCTCAAGACATTAAATTTCTCTTGCAATTTGTTGAGCTCACATATCTGCATTATGCAGGGAAGGAAATTCTGAATGACAATTATGCTTACGGTAGGATAAACGTGTACCGCGACTCACGTTTAACAGATCCTTATTCTGACGATTAGCAACAATTGCTATTAAACAATAAAATTCAGTAAATGTAAATTAAAAATTATACAACAAGAGGATAATTTCCCCCATACAGTTAGGAATAAATGATACGTTTATCAAAATTTATTTGGATTGGAACAAATAACCCCAAATGACAAAACTGGTGTTTTTGTAAAAAAAACTGAGCCAAGTAAAAGTTTCGTTCAGTTGATTCCGTAAAAACTCGTGTTTTTCCAAAGTATGGCGTTTCTAGAAATTAAAAAAAAACTCAGAAAATGCAAATGAAAACGCCAAGAAAAGTGATACGAATCAATCGAAAGGATTCAATAAGAAAATAAAAAAATCAGTAGAGGCAGGACCAAATTACTTGGCGCGGTTTTTCACAAGAACTAGAGTTACAGCCAAAGATTATCTACGGTCACTTTTAATTCTTAGGCAAATTTCATTTTAGCATTATCCTGTAAATAAAACCGCGCCAAGTAAGGAAATAATGATGGAACTAAATAAAAAACGTAAAATCCGAGGGAAGAAATAAAACACTCTCGTCTGTTTCCCTGCTACAATTCAACAGTTTGAATATACTGATGGCAACATCTCAACACCAAATTTGGCACAGGTTAGGTTGGATCGAACTGCTGCCAACTTAGTGACTTCAATGTAACCGAAAGATAATAGAAACCGGAAAAATATTGAAATGAGCCCCTTGCCATGGGTGTGTTTTTGTCAATATTAATCGAAAAGAAGGAAAACTTGCATCAATGAAAAGTGTGAGGACGATTTCTATAATGTAACTGTGCACAGATTTCATGTAACTTGTGGCGTTTGTATTTTATGGAATGAATACGATTAGGAGGTAGTGGAAGGGGTAGTTGTGTCGTGTATAGATACATCGTAGCTCTCAGCCTTATTTGTTGGCTAGAGACGAAGCTTTTACTTGGCCCATACGCTACCGCATATCTCGATATTGTTCACAGCCCACTGTTTAATTTTTTTTTTAGACATAATGTAGCCACATTACAAACGTCCCTATCTGATTGTGTCGCTGATAGACTCAGTCTTTCATTCGTTTCCAGCACTTCCTCATTTAGCAGTTGGTTTAACGATTTCTCAGTACTCGAATCACATGGTAACTTCTGATGAAAACTGTTACCGTAACAAATGTCGCCTAAATTATCATGTCCTGTGATAACTAGGACACATCCATCAACATCATCTTGCGTCTCATTTGTATGATCCGTACTAAATTTTTCAAACTTATTGAAACTCTTTTCGTCATCATGCTCATTGACACTATTATCATTATGAGTCTTTACTAAGAATCGATGTTTTCTTACATGAGAATATGGTGATTTGTTACTCATTTTCGATTTACTCACTTCTTTAAAAAAAAAAACGTTCATTTGAATACTGCCAACTGTTAGGTTAGAGTACACCACATGATAACTGTGGAGTATAACGTAAGCTAACAAGTGAAATAGATGGGGAAGGGGGAAAGACATTGTCGCCAGGAACCAGTCTTAAAATTTGGAATCTCTTGGCTATGAGATTTAATGTTTGCAGGCAATTTGCGCAATTTAGGCAAGTGCCTGAATTAATTTCTTTAATGTTAAATTCAACTTGAAAAAATTCGAATACAATTATATATATGCTTTAAGTTGTATCCAATCAAAGCTTATTGAGCTCTTGAGTCAGAGTAACTCTGATGAGTCTCATCACCGCAAGATTCATGACAGTCCTCACTGAACAAGACTGATTTGAGGCTCAAATCAGTCTATATTTGTCCAGCCTGGACAAAGTAAGTCTCTTTAAAGGCTTTTTCCATTGTCAACATTGCGCTTTTCTACCTGGGATGTGGAATTATACCACTCGCCTTCGGCTCGTGCTGTAAACCTTCCATCCGCCACAAATCCCCTTTCCGCACTTCTCACGAAATATACGATTTCAGCATAATTTATGAGGACTGGGGCTTAGAAAACGCGGAGCATGAGTAAAATGTCACTTTATGCACAGTGTATTGAAAACTTGCTGTATATAACTGCTATTATATTCACAATCTCAATTTGAGATTTGATCAGATTGAGACTGTAAATTGGGTGAGGGAAGTCTAAATCACGATACAATGATGAGTTACGCAGTAGGAAGTCATACTCTACAAGATAGAAACCGGTATTACGGTCTTTGTAATCATAATATGCGGCTTCGGAAATTATCATTTACGGTTATCGAAACCGTAATTGACAAGGTTCTGACCTAATTTAAATTACGGGCGTAAACAGGGATGACATTATAATTTCGAACAGTTTCGAATTATGGTTTCCGTTTACAAAATGATGTTTTACGCATCCACACTTGTAATCTACAGGAGCGAAAACTTCATAAGTCCCCCCGACGAGAAATTAGTTATTCAACATCTTCTGTGTGTATCCGAAGTTGCTTCGATATTTTAGTGGCTTCACATCGTTGATAGATATAAAAATTTGAACGACAAGAGCTGTTTAAATATCTTTCCGATATTGCACTCATGAAAGCAAAGGAAGATTTGAGGACGATAAGAACCATCGTTATGTATGACCACTGCTGCATCGGTTGTCGTTCCATCTTCACTCTCTTCATTTTTTGGGACGTGTGGGTGTTACGGTCTTGATGGCACCATTCACAGAATAATGGAGATGAAAAGTAATCCCCAGGATGAAAGGTTTTCGTTCGATTTTGCAGATTGTATAACGAATGGAATTTGAGAACGTGATGTGCGGAATAACGTGCTAAAGCACACCAGGAAGGGTTACGAACAGTAAAAGAGAGGAAAATAATATGTTCCGGTTTAAAGTGATTTTTCCTGATCAAACTTAAGAGCTACAGATTACGTGAGAATCATTCAGCACCGTAGTTCATGGCAATTAAGGTGGTGCCATTGATGATTGTTGGGAGAATTTAACAGGTGACAGGTCGTTGGTCCGATAGGTCTCCCACCTCTTTCTACCTTCTTGGTAGATCCTCTAGATTTGGAAGACCAGAACGACAAGATTTGTTTTCACGATTCGGTAGTCGTTGTAAGTATTTATTTGGTTGCCCTCTATCTTGTAAGGTAGGTCCGGATTCAACAACCACCAACCACACTGTGAGAACTTTTGTTATTCCCAGAATGTGCTGAAAGCGTACAACACTCAAGTTGTTTGAGAAAAATGTAAAAAAAACTGCAGAAACAAAAGTAGTTGTCGTCTGTAAACGTTAGGAAGGCCAAATTTTTCGATGTGGGTTACCCTTTATACCTTGTATTTTATGTTCACTGTTTTCTCTGCGCATGGAGATAACTGCTGGGTTCAAAGATAGCGCTAATAGATATTTACGTCCAAGAAGATAATTTCTGTTACATCTACACGGAAAGCTCGATTTTGCTCCCCAAGTGGCGAGAAGAAAGTGGCCTATTCCATCCCTCCAATTTCTGTTGCTTTTGAGGATCCTCGGGATGACATAACCCACTTTCCTCCCGTTATTTACAAATATAAATTTTTTCCGTGTAGTGATAAGGGAAAAAACAATGTGCATCGAGGAAAAGAAGTAGGACATTCAAACCCGCGTGTTTGCATGCGCGTGTTTTACGCACACGCGGGTTAAAATGCCCTATTGTCCTCCCTTGGAGCACAACATACCAATTTTTCACTATACATACCATAAAAGAATTGATTATGGAACAGTGCTCAAAATGCTAATGTATTGAAGAAGAATCGTCTCTAAAAGACATAATTGGACCTATAAAGTAATAAATAATCAGTTTAATACATCGTTTTTTATTGAACAGATTTAGTAAAGAAATGATTAGCGTAATAATCTAACTGTCTATTAATTCATCCGTGTCCGAAAACTCATTCCCCTATGGTAATTGAAAAGAAGGTCGTACACAGGTGTGGTTTAACCTTGCGCCTACACGCTCGAGTGTATCTGTGCTACAAATAAAAATCATCGTATATAATAAAGTTGCAGGCATCGCAGAGATAATAATGCGTCACAACCGCGAATACCAGATGCAGAACGGGAGGGACGTACATCACGCCTATTCTACAGACGGCGAGGAAAGTCATCAAACCATTTCCGTACGTACGTCCTCGGAGTACGGCACAGCACACAAGCCAAATGCTATGGTAATCTACGATTCACCATCTTTATTTTTAGATATTGGTTACTTGCGCCTTGATTAGAAAGGCGCTGGGGAGGGGGGGGATTTGTCATTGTATGCATATAAGGTACTTTCCGACGGCTCAATCTCGAAAACAGAGAAATTTTCGTCTTCTTGGCAATTATGACTCTTATGGTTGATTAGTTATAGCTGTTTAAGATGTAATTCTTTCCAAAACAAATTTGTTGTTGGAGAGCGTTAACTCCGTAGTAAATAATTTCTTTCAAGCTCAAAAATTGCGAAATATTTTTGTTATTGAACATACTTTTACATAAAATTATTTAAAAAATCGATTGCTTAATTGGCTAACCATTTTCAAACATCAAAGTTGAGTAATTAATTGTTTGTTGAGTGTCTCCTCTTTAAAATCTCGGTAGAAATTTCAAAATTTTCGAAGACTCAAAAACTAATCACTTCAAAATTTATCTGACTTTTTTGTATAAATTTTCGCCGCATATTCACTAGTAGCTCTCAAAATGTTATTCATCTCTTCATGCAATGCAATAATTTTGCAGCACGGGGGTATTACTACTGAATATTTTTCTTCATGTGTTTTTTCATCGTTACGGATCTGAAATCTAAATCTGTCAAAAATGTGGCAAAAATGGATTATCTGCGAACGCGTCTTTCCAATGTCATCTCAAATCGTCCCCAATTTGCTGATTTTGGCGAACTCGTTGGTCTCAGAAATCGTCAAAAAACATTTCCAGAATAAGCGACGGATACTCATCATGACGCATCCCGCACAGGCGAATATATGCTGATTATACACACATATACTCCGACCATAAATGCAATATATCACATTCTCCAATTAATATTTCGACCATACTTAGTTTCGTTTAATTGATGAGTTTCGGCCATTTTACTCAGTCAAATTGTTTATTAATGTTACATATAAAAAATTGAAAATAGATGACACTAATATACTTAACTGCACAAAATTTCGAATGCTTAAGGCATTCCTCTTCAGGTACCTTCATTTAAAAAGAACTAGGAAATAACAATAAAAGCTTGCGTACCCTAAGCTCGAAATCGTCGCATAGGCGTGGTGCAAGTCAAAGAAGGCTCAAGTGATGGTGTGGTAGAAATATGCGCATCCGCACTAGAAAGGCGTTAAATTACAAATCTGAATATTCAAAAATGTGTGGTCAATGTAGTGGGAATTTAACAGTAAAACGAGAAAATTAGTCTGTGGGAAAGAATAATACTTTTTTTTCAAATTGTTACATCAACTGTATTAAATAATAGACAAAACAATGAGTATCTGCCTGAGAAAAAGGGTGAACGATATCTCCATAGTTCATCTTTTTTGCCGAGATAACATTTCTTGATTTCTTGAATGCCAAGCCTAACATCTGGGCCAAGCTTGGAGCTCTCTCGGTTTACCAAGCTTTGGTATATCAAGATTGTCTCAGGCTTGGGCTACTTGGGTTAATAAGGTAGTCCCGGTATACTACAGTCGGAGTCTAGTCTCAGGGCTGGTAACCGAGACTTGATTTTACCAGGCTTGGGCAAGGATTTGGACAAAATAACCATTTTCCTACGTGATAGTAGGAGGGAAAATAAGTCGAATGATGAAATGGAGCATTCGGAACTGGGAGTAGAGGAAAAAGGGAGGAATCATCTATAACATGGTTCAATCTATAAGTTTTATAAGGTTGTTACCGCCTCCGGGCGGCTGGACAATTAATGATTTTTTTAAAAGAGCTACCTTGATCGTGTACAGTTACGTCAAAGTAGAGACCATAACAGGATGGGATCTTAGTGTGTGGGATCAAACACTGAAGTGTACTATGCTGGGTTACACAAGAGTTTGAGTGAAGAGTGACGCAAAGGGAGAGAGGGAATTTTTCTTATAATCACTAAATAGAGTTCTTTATTGATTTACTGCCGAAATAGGATTATCACGACAAGATAAGATAGAACCACGCAAATGGAATGGGAAAATAGAAGGAACTGAAAATCGATAAAGATTATAATCGGTTAAAAACTTACAGTTGTCAACCAATAACCGGGTTAGGAGACAGGCATGATCACACAGTCTGGTGGTTGGTAGACTCGAAGACTCCTTTACAGGAACAGAGTAAATTGCCGTTGGTGGATCTCTCTATTCAGGCGACTCTCGCAGGACGATGGTGAAGTTGACGAACTCCGTGGTTTGTACGCAATCCCGGAGCCTCCATCATTTTCGGGGTATTTTACGGAGAAGTACATCCAGCGACAAGGTCAAGAAAAACCACACTCAACAGATGCTCATTTGAAAGTAACCTCGAGCTTATAGGGATTTCTCTCTAATCTCCAAATCTGAATTGAATAAATTTCTTCTCGCTGCAAGTGTTGCGGATGAATACGAATCAGCTTCAGATTGCCCTTTCATGACATTTATTGTTTGAAATCTGTTATTTTTGAAGCAGTTTAAACGTGACCGGCTTCTCCTCTGAATTAAGGTCAAGGAATGTATTGGCGTATAATACAAATTATTTCAGTTTTTCAATCGCTCCTATTTTATTTTGCAGACTGGACGAACAGACAAAAGAGGATCTGAAAGAGACTTAAGGGACTCACCTCCGGCAATTCGTAATCATGCACAAAGTTCTGAAATTTACATTACCAGTGGAGATTATCGAAGTACACCAGATTTTAGGTGAATTATTTTTGAATTCTACAAAAGAAGGGTAAAATATTATCTAATTGAGAATATAACGTGGTCATGAATTTTTCAGTTTTTCGTCTCAATATGTTGCAAAATAACAGGCAGGAAAAATACTATAAGAAATCTAAGGAAATTGGAAAACTAGAATTAAAATTGATATTTTTATATTTTTATTTGTCATGTGGATACATTCTTAGGCCTTTACATTTTGTTCCTATCGCTAATGAAAATATAGCATATACGAATTCCAAAAAATAAAAAGTGTGAAGAAAAAATCATACAACGTCTTGTTTCGTCTTCCACGAAAAGAAAGAATTAGAATCTAGGTTTCAAGGAGGAAATCAATTATTAACACACTATTAAATTCGCCCAACATTAAAGATAAGAGTGATAGGGAAAGGTGGAGAAACACTAAAGGTAGGGGGAGCAGAGATCGTGTCCTAAATCCTCATCGCGGATTTTAATACAACAAAATATCGGAAATATTCCACTCAAGCAATTGAGCAAAGATGACAAATGTGACCATGCATTTGTTGGGGAAAAATCTTCCTCGCATGAATCCTCCGAAATATTAATTTTGTATATTTCCCAAAAAAATATAGGGTCCAGCAAACAGCTAAGGACTCTTTCAAAGATCAGTTTATTGAGTAGTTTTTCTACCTAGATGTCGTAAAGGCCGATATGGAAGGGACGCTGTGTTGCACAGCTTTATGACTTGATCTTTGTGTTTGACTTGACTTTATGTTTTTCCCTCCAACGGTTTGAATTATAGCTCAAATGTGAGAGGTTCAAGTCCAAATTTCCCATCTTCGGAAGGTAAGGAAGGGGCAATAGAATAACAGGGACGGGCCGCATTTCACCAAGGAAAAATACTCATTTTTAGGGTTAACAGAGAGAAATCTCCCTCTATCCTCAAAAATCTCTCCACCAATTATTCCAAAGAGTGTCTCCGAAAACCTCTTAGAAGACAGAGTTATCTTTAGCGTTTTTGCTCTGTCATGTGATGTCCAACTAGTGTTCTCTCGTTTGTATATCTTCCAGTTCGCTCTGGAGTTACCGGGATAAATACATCTTTTAGTTTTGTGATAACCAAGTCATCAAGTTAATTAATCAAAACTATAATCCTATCTCCTATGAATCATTAAAAATCATCATTAACTCTGTGTTATTATAAAGCCTTCAACAAGAAATACAGTAAATATAACTGTTCAACTCTCAACAGTGATTATTTATATCTCGAGTGATATTAGACTGATAGCTCGAGTCTACCGTACATCAAGGTACACCTCATTATATGACCGATAACGGTGCCCCAATTGGTCAAAGCGCTCGGTCGGACGACACAACCCGAGAGACGTGAGTTCGAGTTCGGCTTAGGGCATTGGAATTGTTATCTTCTAAATCATCAAATGGAAGTGTAGACACCAAAAATCGTCGGGAAATGCCGGAAAAACTTTCCTCACTGAAGCTTGGTTGTTGAACGCAGTTTCCTTTAGTTATCAGGAGAGTGTACGTGGCGGGCAGTTCCTGGGGTAAAGGCGACACGATTGGAGGGGAAAGCTGCCCATGATACCGCAAAAATATGATGTAACCCCGAAATAGGGTACACATGGACTGAATGATAATAATATAATTTCATATGGGTCAGAAAAGTGTCCTTCACTGCTCCACTCCTTTTCTCAGTGGCCTTCGGCTCTTTCTCTTATAATATGCTTCAGCTTTCTTGTCCTCTCTATATACGTCGTCTCATCTCCAAGCACTCTAACGTGCGGCCATCCTTCTTCTCACTCTAACAATTTCTTGCCTTCATTTATGTTCCCATGTTGACCATACCTCCGCTGTTGTTTTGCTCTCCGTCTTCGTCTCTGCGCCGCCGAAAATTGTCAGTGGCTTTTCCGTGTGCGGGCCTTACTCATATAATACTATTTTCAGCCAAATTTTGAAATTACTCCAATTCCTGCGAGTTTAAGATCTGACTCTTCACAACTTATGAAAGTTTAATGGTTGAAATTGCGTCTTTTGTCTTCTTCTTGCAATTAATTCCGTTCAAAGTTTAAATTAACTAAAAGTTGGAAAGTTAAAAAATGGAGAATAATTGAAGAGTTACCATTGTAAGAAGAACTGAAACTTATAATTTTAGGTATGTGTGTGTAGTCTTTGTGTTACTAATTCGAACAATGCGGTCATAATTATTCTCGATTATGAAATGGGCGTTTAATAAAAACGTAACGTTTAAATGTGCTGAAAGAGTCAGTTTCGAGTTAGATAATCGTGCTGAAACGAGAAAAATTATCGTAGAAAATTCCACTAGAGATTTGAAGTTATTGGACATTGTAGTAGGTAGGGACATGGGAGTAATTTGAGTTTTTAGAGTTAGAGTAATTAGAGTAACAAAATTATCAGAGTCATCATCTAAAAAATAATTTTTTTGAAGATTAGTATGATATCTCGTTAGTCTGTTCTTATCGATTTGGATATGTACCATTAGATTATTGGTGGACTTTGACCATTTTGAATGGACCTTTACTTCGTGTAGCTGATTTCTTTGATTTAGTAGACGTTATTGTAAATTGTTTGATTAACACCTGATCACCTATGTTAAATTCTCCAGGGTGAATTTTTTTATCGTGATACTCTCTGCTCTTCTCCTTGGAAGATAACCAACTTTGTCTGGCAATTTCAAAAAACTTATTTAAGAAAAGTTTGAGAAAAGATGGAAAGTAAGGTTTATGGCATGTGATGCTATCGCGTATTTTGATATGGCCCCCACGAATAAAATGAAACAAACCAACCATAGGGTAGTTACATAGTTATGTTAAATGAAGTTACATTCAAATAACTCCAACCTAAAGTTGTTAACCAGAAAATTATAAAGCAGACAAAAATAAACGAAGAATTATCAAGTACAGATGGTAGGAAACCGTACCATCAAGAATTGCTATGCTAAGCCAGGATGCCTGAAATGTGCACAACAACATCGAAAGACTGCTTTCAGAGTTTAGAGAATTTTGCAAAATGATTGAACTGCGATAAGCTAAGCCCAAATAATGTAATTATATGTAAAGGGTACAAATTCTAAGGATAGCAGACAGAAAAGAAACTAGTACCCAGCAAATATCTCAAGCAGAAGGCATCAGACAACTACGATAGGAGTTCGTTGATCGTATCGATCAATAAAGTGGTGAGTTGACCACTCTGAATCCACAACCTCCCCCTCATTAGCTGGTGAACACATAAGAGAAGTGTCGTATAAAAAAATGGCGAGAGGGATGAAAATCAGACATTGATTGCGAGTTCACTTAGGGACAGGCCGTCGAGCTGACGTCAGGGGAAGGACGAGTCAGACTCCCATTCTACGAAAACCTGAATTGATCTTATATTACCTTGTAAAGAGTCTATCCTCCTGAATCACAGCAGAGTCGAGTCAGGGGTGTGAGTGAACCGCGATTGGAAGAATATGGCATAACAATCAGTCTGGTGAAACGAAATGTCACCGAGCTACAACGAACATTGGAAAGAGACCACTAGCCAAGTCGGTAATGGAAAACAAAAAAACATGTTTTCTACTATTAGTTGTGCTACAGTGAAGCATTGCACATGAGAGATGCTTCGAGAAAGGAAGAATGTTGTGAGCACTCGTCCACGGTCCACACCTTTGAAGATTTAATAAAGGGGGCGCTGAAAAATTCAACTCCTGCACACCAAATGGAATGGAACAAAGGTGAATCATACTGATAGCCAAGGCGTCCTACAATTCGGTAAGATTATAGATGCTCACCGGTGGCGAAAAGAATCACCATGTTCGTTAAATATAATGGACCCGCATTTCATTACACACGTGCTCAGATGTTTCGCGCTTCAGATAAGAGGTTAATTTTCTTCCAAATAAGCGAGCGGCTCCAAATTACGAGAGGGATCGATCATACCAGGAGTGACGACATGCGTTTTCCCTGGACATTCCATTTTACAAATCGAGGCGTTGTGGTCTTGAAAACAGCATTTGTACTGGGTTGCAAATACATGCCCGCTGACGTACATAGACTCAGATCCGGATTCAGGAAAACTTGACGATGTTGAATTGAATATACAAATAATCTATAGACCTGATTCTGCAACTCTTGAAACCAATCAATAGTGAAAGCAATCAGGATTGCTGAACAATGATTTTTCCTGGCCAAATCCTGGGTACTGCAGTTACTCTTTTCACATTTAACTCCAAACTACAGCTTTCAAAGTAAATAAATGCAGTACAAATTTCAGTTTCCCCCCATTCCACTCTGTTTTCTCTCCTCTTTCTTTTTCTCGTTACCCCTCCCTCCTTATGTCATTCAAGCATATGCGGATCGTCAAGCTGACTGTCCAAAACTCTCCGCAGCTTTATTTCTGTCACACGTCAATTATAGCCGGGACCACCACTGACTCTGGAAACGGTTTTCCTATTTTGGCATTTGAGACACTTTGAAGAAAGACAGAAAACAAGGGCATTCTAGAAACACGCGACAGAACCGCCAGCAAAAGCGAAGACTTAAATGTCCTCTTTCGCAAACATCAAGCACATAATTCTGATTCGTAATCGAATGTAGCACCTAAGAAATAAAACATTCCACTTCCGATTAATTATTACAATTAAATACAAAAATATTTTGTTGCATGCACGGTGTCAGAAAGGATGGAATAGTTATATTAGCAATGTATATTACAGAGGCTGAAAACTATTTTGATTATGTACTTTATCATCAATAATAAAATATGTTCAAATATGTTACTACAGTAATATATGCTACAAGGACAATGAAACGTATTGTGGGAACGTATCTTATCAAAATCATGTGGCATATGTTGCTTTAAGCTACGGGCCCGACTAACCGAGTACTTTTATATGGAGTTGAATTTTATATGAAGATTTTTCAATCACCTCTACATCTGATATAATATTTTAGCTGGTAATTGAGTCGAAGAACTGTTAAAAGTTCTTCCTCAGAGGTACCTTCATGTACGAAAACCATATCCTCAGAACAAGTTTTTCAAATAATAATAAAATCATTGCTGGATTCAAGTTATGGCCTACCTCAAATAGGACAATTAGAATTTGGCATTTTGACGTTTTCATTGTTAGTTACTTCAGTAATGAGTCGTTTTAGAACCGAAATGTTAACTGCACTCTCTTCCCAAGAGTATTTTACCGCAAAAATATGTGACAATTTTTTCAAAGATTGATAACTTAATAATTACATAATAATGCGCCTTGGTAAATTTACAGTAACACACTGCCTCATCATAGTCCACTGGCAAACTCAAAATATGGCCACGGAGCGTTGAGTAATTACAGTTATGGCTCAGCGAGATCCGGACTGTCTAATGGCTCCACTGTGAAAACGAAAATTGCGAGACATGGGGGACTCGTCGTTGAAACCATGTCAACACCAAATCCCTTTTGCCCGAATACAAAAGGGATGTGCTGCCTCCTGCTGCTCATCAATTTGGGAATTATTCTTATTACACTTGGTTTCGTTATAGTCATACAAATCTTTCATCCACTTATAGTCTGGTAATGATACGTTCTAACCATAACCTATTTTCAGATTATTCCAACTTTTGCAGAGAAACATTTTAATTTCGATTTTTCAATAATAGTTTTTCAATTTAATTCTCCGTGGATAATGCTCAGAGAATTTAATTTCGTTCTGACAATTACACAATCGCAAACAAACATAATATTTTAATGAAAATCGGGTGGTTAATCAATTAATTAGTTCTCCGTCATCAATGTGACCCCTTGTCCAAATATTTTATTAAAATATTTTCAGTACATCAAAAAATTCTTTTGAAAGTAGCTTTTCACATTTTCTATCCAGATGAAATTAAAATATTCCATTTCGAATAATATCGAAATCCCACAGCCATTAATGTCCTATTCCACTTTCAATAATAGATTAATTGCATTATTTAATCGTTTCCTCAGGATTCTTGGGATAATTTTCTTGATATTCGGTTTTGCAACCTTGATTGGAAGTTTGATATATTGCGTACACGTATTCAGAAATGCCAAACACCCTCACGAAGTAAATCCAGAGGATTTCTACTGGACAAGATACTGGCAGGGACAAGTTGCATCAATTCCCGAGTTTCACTACAAAGCTGAAGAAAAATATCCGGATGATACTGGAAGCGATCGCGGCAGCAAGTACTCATCAAACTACTACGATCGACGCAACCAACATTATTGAAGTTATTTATTTATTTCATTTAACAATTTTTCCAACTAATAGACTGGTCGACTGTGCCTTAAAAATATAGATAATATGCAATGTTTGTTTTAAAAATGCGTGAAAATGGAACTTATATTATATTCCACAGATTGTAAACCATAGAGATAAGAAATTTAAAAAAAAATGTTACACATTATGTTAGCTTCTAGTGGAAAGTCTGCTAAAAGAGATACTTCTTAAAAACACTTTTTGACATGAGTTATGAATTCCTGAATTTGTAAAAAAAAGTAGCGACCCTATATTAATGATCCATAAAATTCTCAATCTAAACGCTATTTTAATTAATTTCTCTGAAACTTTTATTTTTTCGAAAATATTCTCAACTTCTTTAATTCACTTTTAATATTTCTCAGCAGATCAGCCAAAGGAAAATATCTCCCCTGCACAGTCTCCTCACTCGAATGAAATAAACTCTTTGATTTAATCCGCCCATTGAAATCAATAAATAATCGTAAAAGTATAAAGAAAATAATCCAGTGTAAAATCTCTTCAAAGATCCTTTACTGTCTACTTGTTAATCACAATAAGTTAGAGGAGATGCTCATGGTTGGCAGCGAACTATCACTCCAGTCAGGATGTGGATAGTTTCTTGGAGGGCTTGGTACTCTCACCTCAATCTTACTATTAATTCTAGTATTTTCATACATCATCTCGATTTCTTTTAGACCCTTGCTTGCTTCAATTCTCTCATCCAGAGAGACTCTCCCTCTCGACATTTGTACCTCCCTCACTTGCGGATCCATCTCATCATAATTACTATCACGAATACCGTTACGAAGATCATAAATAAATTCATCTTCATTAGGTTTCGATATAGAATCAGACTGTGACCCCTCATCCGCTCTGAATGACGTTAATTCTAAGTGGGTTTTCTCCGTAAATTTCTCTGTTTGACATTCATTTTCAGACTCATTCATTAGAGTCTCCAACTGTACTGACATTTTACGATTTATACTTGTGTGAGGATGTGTCCCATCAATCGTAGAAATGGAGGATTCTAGGACGTCAACATCGTTATGTCGGTTATTATTTAAAGAAATTATTGAGTTGTTGACGGTACGAACAGGAGACGAAGAGGCTCGTCCGCCGCTTACCATCAAAGATAAATTGCGGGGTTGATTCACAGTTACATTTTCAGGTTTTAGAAACTTTTTGATGTTGAGCAATTGATCTCCGATCAGATTCTGGAGGTTTTTCATGGACTTCCGATGTTCGATTAGTTGGGAATCCTTAAGAGAGGATATTACAGACAATTTTTCCTTTTCCATTTCGAAGAACTGACAATCGAGACAACGCTGTCGCGCAAGTTCCGTCTCCTCATTAAGTTCGGTTTTGAGTTGTGTTATGATATTCTGCAGGAGTTGGTTTTCTTCGTTTTTCTCTTTGAGGTCATTGAGGAGTTTTTTATTCATGAGATCTAATTTTGACGATTCTGTGAGTCTCTGGCGAAGATCTATCACAAGGGCCTTGAGGTCGGCCTCTCGACTGAGCGATGCCTCGAGTTGAAGAGACTTCTCTTCCAATTGCCTGTTGATAATTATACAATAGTAGTCAATCAACCTGTGAAGTTGATTCGCCAATAATAATCCAGTTAGGTGTTAATAGTTAGATTCCTAGATTGATGCTATTCAGTCATAGAGGAAAAAAAGATTTTGATCAATATAACATGCCTTAAGGTAAAATTCGCATGTATTATATGCGTAACGCAATCTATTTAATTTGATTTTTATCTTGTAAAATAGTCTAACATATTATGAAATTTCGAATGGATACTGCATTGCGGAAACTGTTCTCGTGATTATAAATAAATAATTATTAACAAATGTTGTTTACAGTGACATGTGTTCTTCGATGAGTTGACTATCAATTTTGACCGCAGTTAAATTTATTTCCCTGATATCGTGAGTTTTCACGTGCCGCTTAATTTACCGTATACATGATTAATTGGATTCACTTTATTAGCAACGAAAAATTCCTCATAAAATTCAGCATTATAGCTCAAGCGTAGAGATGAAGGCTTAGACAATACCCTAAAAAGAATGAAAATCCAGATATTTCTGAAAATAGATATGAATGGCTATATACATTTTGAGTATTTGAGATGGGTTTCATCGGACTGGAAATTGAAAATCAAAATATAGTTGACACCAATGGCGATTCTCGTTGAGGACTCGTTCAATCAGCTGTTCTCTTTCAACTACTAATTTCTGATTATTTCCGTTTGCCTGTTGGCAGTCGGACACTGTCTCAATCTGTGTATTTTAGAGCCTCCTAGACTGTATTCCTTCCCAATCTACGAATCTTAAATTCAAAATCACTTCATAGGTATCAATAATTACAACTGAAGCATTCGTGATATTTTTTAACTATCTCTTTGTTTTAACTATCGAAGAGACGGACATTCGAACAAACCTTTATACTAACTCACTACCCGTATTGTGAACAATAATTGCAGTCCTGATATTTTTAGTCTAGTTATGGTTGAAAATGGTGCGGGATTTTCTGAAACTTCAAATTAGAAAGTGTTGCCAGCATAGCCATTTGTGACCATGTACGTCGAGGAAATGAAGTGGGTAAAATAATGTTTAAAAGTGAAATTTTCTTATATTATAAGTTCCAATGAGAACTAGTTGACTGCAAAATTTCAGGGCGATTTATGGAATAGCTGTGAAGAAAAGGGCATTGGTTTTTGAATCATTTTTTTTTGTTAAAAACAGACACTTCAATCTGTTCGAATTGAATCGACTGAAACAAATATGTACAGAAAAACAGGAATATGTATACATATTACAGTGTAATATATGTGATATATGGTGTGCCATTGCCCCAATTGTCAGCACCATTCTGGCATGTAAATTTTAAAAGTTCTTTCTTTATTGATTTTCAAAAAGTGTAGTCCAAAAAGAGAAGAAAAATGAGCGCAGGCGAATATCTCTATCTCAATTATTAGCAGGGATATCGAACATTCTGTTCAATTTTCTTTTAAAATGTTTATTTTGCGAGCCAAATTAAGCGAACTTATGAAAAGCAAGAAAAAGCCTCAAATTTGAAAAGTATCTAACCGATTTCAATTTTTCACCTCTCAAAATATTCGTCTCGATGTACTTTGTCTCAATCAATGAACATATGTATTAAATAAGTATTCAAGATATGTTAATTTTAATTTTTTTTTCAAAAATACATCATCATAGGAAATTTTCGAGAATTTGCAAAAAATTGGCCCATTTGGCAGATCGTCAATGTAAAAATTGAAGTTGAGAGATTGATTTTCCAAGAAATGAGAGGACATACAAAGATTTGAGCATTTTCTCTAGCCGTACGGAATCATACCATTAAGTCATTGATGTCGATGGATGATGGAAATCATCACTCAGGGACATGTTCATTCTCACTTCCTCGCTGTCATATACTCACAATTTATGCTTGTTTTAGAATATCTAAAATGTAAGTGAGACAACGAATTTTTTTTATTAAGAAGGTCTTGAAACTTTTTTTTCCAGAAGGCGATCTCACTCGTTTTATGGAATTATTTTCAAAATTCTTGAAATAATATTTAAAATTTCTAATCAACTATTATTTCTACCAACTAGACTTTGGTAAAGCGAATAATTTTTTGCATATATCAAGTGGCAAAAAGGAGTTATCTCTTCATGATTATTATATAGCCGTTGCTAAGGGTAAATTATATAATTTAACTTTTCATAGAACCTTGGTAGGCCCTACACACACAGAATAGCTATTTTCTAGCAGCTTAAAATGATGAGTTATTATATATTTTTATGATAAGCTATCTTTTTTAGAATTGTCCGGGTAATTTCTGCAACACAGTATGTAAATTTCAAAATATTTTCCACTAATATGACAAAAATAAAACCAACCAGACAACGTTTAATAAATAATAGGTGAGCTTGTTTAACGAGTTATCAAGGAAAAACAATTCCGCTGAACTTTCGATGTAGAATTCAAGTTAAAAATTGAGATAGGTAATGAAATTTCATAAAAATAATGGTGAAAAAAGGTTAAAGTGTGAAAGATTTTTTTCTTACTGCTGAAGAATGACTTGTTGCTTGAGCGTTACTTCCAAAGTAGTCTGCATCTCTTTACCTGTAGCTGCTAGCATTGTCGCACTGGCGTGGGTATGTTTGAGAATTGTCTCCACATCCTATGAACAGTAAAATAGTAAAATGGACATGAAAAGTGAGAATTTGTCAGTTGGAAATTTTCGACAAATCTCAAATTTCTTCAAATGAAATTTCGTTTGCCTACATTCATGCAAACAGCTTTGTGAAAAAAAATGAAATTATGGTTGCAACATTTTAAAATGTCTCATTATTATTATTAACACTTTACAACTCACAGCATGGCCTGATTTTCCACTATCGTTAGGTATTCTCAACAACGCTTGCTCCATTTCGTACAAAATTCCACTAGATTTTTTATCCTTAATTAAACTCTCAAGCTCCTTCATCAAAAAGCCAATTGTTGGAATGGGATTTAATAAATTGAAATGGTTGTTAGAAGAATGGAATAAGGTTCCACATTGAACCCCTTTATCGGTAACGATAACAGACTCTGTACTATCTCCACTCTCAATGGATGAGACTGAGGGGTTCGCCGATGAAAAATTATTCTTAGATTTTCTAGGTTCTCTATAATCTGCAGTCAATGTTCGGTTAGTTTTTGAAGTACTCATTCGTTTGTTAACGTGGTGAAGGCTCTGTTTCAACGAGGCTTTCGTCTGTTCTCGGAATGTACCCGGCCAATTATTCTTATTCTCAGTTAATACTGATGAGCGCTTTTTCCACTCAATTTGAGTGCCGGATTCTGATTGCGCCGATAGTGCTTTTGGCATTTTTTGAGTGGCTTTGGGACCCTTCGTCTTTACTGTTATTGCCACTGTAGTTCCCTGCTTATCTATTACAACACGGTCGCTCGAGGCCCCTGGAATACTCTAAAAAAAAATAATGAAGAAATATTACAATTAAGGAGAATAGTTTTTGCCACTAGGTCCGATCTAACCTCGTTCTTTCTCGTTCTCAGGCTAGTAAATATCACTTAACTGGCCTAGGCCTGTTAGAACTGGGTTAGTTGGGCCTCATAACAAATATTACTAATTAGTAATTTTGTGGAAAAATGTTAAGAACTTGTTGGTTAAAACAATTATATTTATCATTAAAAAATGTAAGCTGAAATGTTCACAATATTTTTCCGACTATTCTTATATAATAGAAAAGTTTTAGTTATACACATATTTTATCACATTTACTTCCAAAACTTCACTAGCAGTTGTATGTATATTCATCACCTGTTTGGCAGTTGACGATAAATTTGGTTTTTCAATGCTCCTTGATTTGCTGGCAGGGGCAATTTTCCCGAAACTATTGATATTACCGCTCATGATTTAAACGGCAAAATTCAGATTAAATTACCAATTGATTCAGGAAAAAACTCAAACGCACCGTTTTATACTGAAAGTCCCATGATTTGAATGCTGCTTAATAAGCAGTGCTTATGTATACCAGCCCGATTGAAAAATGTATAAATCTCCTCAGGGAGTCGCTCAGAATTCACCAAATATTCTTCTGCTCCTCCACAATTTTTTTTATAATTAGTGAAACAGATAATTTACCAAATTCGTTTCTAATTGTAATAATTTAGGCAAAGTATTTACGCTTAGTTTTGATTACATTTCCCAACATTTACTCATTTCCTCAGGTGACGTAACCTCAAAATCATGCCGCTAGTTGCGTAAATAGCTGTGTAGTGCATGTGATTGAACCCGTAGAGATCATTGACAACCATTGATTGAAAAGTTATGGAATTTGATCATTTTATACGAATATTGAAATTACAGTGAAGGGAAGCGATGTTTCGAAATCTGATGACGATAATTTCTCCTGTACGCTCAAATGTACTACGACGATGGCCGCAAACGAAAGAGCATGTGCAGTGCTATGGAATTTCCAGGCTATGGAGCTTCGGCTCGAGGTATTTATTCAATTGAAACTGTTCATTACAATGTACGATAACAAAACAAAAAGTTCAATCAATTTGGAATATGTTTGAAACTCTACCATGAATATTTTCTATTAATAGAAAAAAAACTATTTGAAAAATTTTTATATTTTCTATTTTTATGATCAGTTTTGTAATTAAGTTAACGTTAAGTTAACTATGGTTAACGCGTGGTTAACCTATTTTTCTTCAGTAACACAAGTATTTTAGAAATTTCCTTTAGCAAAAAAAAAAAAAGAAAGCAATGGAAATTGTCATGGAGGAGTGCATGTAAACAGTGAAAAGAATGTGTTTTCATGTGAACGTTCACAAGAGAGGGTACGCGTATGTCATGGGAGATGGCAGTACAGAAAATCAAACATCATCAATCTCTCAGAAAAATCCGCGCCAGTTACGAAACGAGCTTCTAGGCTAATCTAAGAAACAGCCCGTGTATTCATACTCTATATGAATATATATTTCTTATACATGCGTTTATTCATGATAAATTAAATAGGAAATGATTTGTCATGGACAAACAGATAATTTGGTCTTATTCTACTTTTGATTTTAAAAATGTCACCTGATATTTTCCACCAGAATGTTGCCGGCGTCTTTGAGGTAGAAAAATTACAGCTGTATGAGATTTTAACCAATAATGTTCGACCCTATTAGATTTTACATTGAAGTTTGTCACAACTGAAAGAAAATTCTTTCTCAAAAATTCTCTAATAACACAAGAAATTTCCTGAAATTAAACATTTTTTAAACACATAAAGAAGAGAACATTAGAATGTTTCTATTTTTTAAATAGTGCGTTCATTGTTGTTTTTGTCAAATACAGTTGCGTAGAATTAATTGGAGATGAGGTCCTCATATTTTAATTGAAAATTTCTCATACAACAGACCCAGGGATTGATTCAACATCATACAGCAACGGGAAATGAACATGATGATAATAACCCATTACAATAATTTTTGCCAATACCATCTACAATCTAGTATGACACAGGTAATTTGTTCACAAATTGTCGATATCCGGTTATCGACGTAATATTATATGAATCATTAAGATTAATTTTTCACTTTGAACTATTAGGCGAGGATATTTTTAACACGGAATCATAATGATGATATGACCAACAGATTAGTTGAATTAAACGTTACATGCTTTTTTTTAAATGGGATAGCGTATATGGCGCGCTATGCGCGCCAAATCGTTCACGTATGGGGTGTTTACATTGGAATATATATATATATATATATATATATATTAATAACCGTGAATATATATATATATTTAAGGGTCATTTTGGTGACACCGCTATATTAATGGCCAGAAAGCTTGGAAAAGGGGCCGGTAACTAAGGTGTGAAAGTTTTTTAAATAAGTCCCGAAACTTTGCTCGTTACACATAGAAATATATCAGACGGTTATTTTGATGACTATGCTGATTATATTATCCGGTCGTTTTGATCACACTGTATAAAAGTTATACAGTTACCAAAGTGACCACATGTTATAAAATTTGTGTATATAATTATATATATATAAATATCATATTGTCCGGTCATTTCTGTGACATAATTATAGTTTATATAGTGTCATCAAAGTGACCAGACTTTATAATGTTTAT